GATTGTGGTGAGACTTCAATGAGTTATACAGGTAAAGCCTGTGAGTGGTCAGCCCATGATAAGTGCGGTAGAAGAGTTAGCTGTTATGATTCTTGTTACTCCATAGCTGTACTAGCTCCTGTTAAATGCATGGAGGAGCTACTCCCAGGCAAAAGGTGTTCAATATGTAGTTGCTGAATTGATAGATAAATTCTGATATTTAGAGTATTTATATGTCAGATGAAATACTCAAACAGCAGTCATCCCTAGCACTGTCACCTTAGGATGTTTGGTACTCTTGTTAGGGGAAGCACGCTGATTGAAACCACCCACCCTGGCCAGGCGCCATAGTAACCATTTGCATGAGTTGTTTTATGACAGGAGGTCCTGGTAAGGAACAGGGAACTAATAAGCCTCCACCAACCAGAAGAGTTCGGGAAAGGTCAAAAGGAGACACCACCTGTCTGACCACCTCCCAGAATCCTCTCTGGCATCCACCTTGGCTGAACAAGGCGTGCACCACCAGGAAGGACTCTGAGTCAGGATGACTGGCTAAGGACAACCCAGAAACTAATCCCATCACCATAAAACCCGAGACTGCTAGCCATGTGACAGAGCAGTTCTCCTGGGTTCCTTGACCCTAGTGCTCTCCCCCCGGGGGCCCTTTCCCAACAAAATCTCTTGCTTTGTCAGCACATGCGTCTCCTCAGAAATTCATCTCCAAGTGTTAGACAAGAGCCCAGTTTTGGGCCCTGGAAGGGGTCGCCTTTCCTACAACACTTTTGAACCTTAATCGTCTTGTCTTAGGTGAAGAAATGCAGAGAAACACCCCAGGTTGGAGGCAGAGCTTCCTGTGATGAAAGGGTTAGTTGCTCAGTCCCGTCCGACTCTTTGAGACCCCATGGACTGTAGCCCAACAGCCTTCTCTGTCCATGGAATTCTCTAGCAAGAATATTGGATTTGGGTAGCCATTCCCTTCTCCAGAGGATCTTCCCAACACAGAGATCAAACCCAGTTCTCCTGAATTACAGGCTGATTCTTTACTGTGAGTCACCAAGGAAGCCCTTCCTGTGATGGGAGATATTTAAAAGAAAACTGAATCCTCTCCTTGATAATGCAAATATTCATCCCAGGGTGGTCTGAGTGAGTACCCAGGGATTTGAATCATTTAACCCCTTCATACCTTCACCAAATGAGAGTTGGACTAAGTGTTTTGCAATGGGTCCTTGAAATGTTAATTCCTGTCCTTAAATAAACTTGGGAAACCTAGGGTCAAGTTGAACAGATTCCTGCTGTCTTTTTTCTCCTTGTGGCATTTCTCAGAACCTTTGGAGCTCATTTGTGTTGCAATTCTGAACAAATATGTAGAATGACATATTTTCCAAAGTTGTTTGAGGACAAAATTTCTTTTTATCCCTTGTTGGGGGACATCTGCAAGACTATTGTTCTATAAATGCTGGATGCCTCCAAGGTTTTTCCCACCCATGTTTTATGAAAGTCAGAGGTTGCTTTTAACTATGTAATTATATATGTTAAACTGTAGAGTTGAATCTCTAAGTGGTGATTGGTAAATGTCCACGTTCTATTGTTTTCCTCTATTTCTTTGCATTGATCGCTGAGGAAGGCTTTCTTATCTCTCCTTGCTATTCTTTGGAACTCTGCATTCAAATGGGAATATCTTTCCTTTTCTCCTTTGCTTTTAGCTTCCCTTCTTTTCACAGCTATTTGTAAGGCTTCCTCAGACAGCCATTTTGCTTTTTTGCATTTCTTTTCCTTGAGGATGGTCTTGATTCCTGTCTCCTGTACAATGTCACGAACCTCTGTCCATAGTTCATCAGGCCCTCTGTCTATCAGATCTAGTCCCTTAAATCTAGTTCTCACTTCCACTGTATAGTCATAAGGGATTTGATTTAGTTTATACCTGAATGGTCTAATGGTTTTCTCCACTTTCTTCAATTTCAGTCTGTATTTGGCAATAAGGAGTTCTTGATCCAAGCCACAGTCAGCTCACAGTCTTTTTTTTGCTGACTGTATAGAGCTTCTCCATCTTTGGCTGCAAAGAATATAATCAATCTGATTTTGGTGTTGACCGCCTGGTGATGTCCATGTGTAGTCTTCTCTTGTGTTGTTGGAAGAGGGTGTTTGCTATGATCAGTCGTTCTCTTGGCAAAACTCTATTAGCCTTTGCCCTGCTTCATTCTGTACTCCAAGGCCAAATTTGCCTGTTACTCCAGGTGTTTCCTGACTTCCTACATTTGCATTCCAGTCCCCTGTAATGAAAAGGACATTTTTTGGGGGGTTAGATCTAGAAAGTCTCGTAGGTCTTGGTATTAGGGATACCAAGGGAACATTCCATGCAAAGATGGGCAAAATAAAGGACAGAAATGGTAGGGACCTAACAGAAACAAAAAATATTAAGAAGAGGTGGCAAGAATACACAGAAGAACTGTACAAAAAAGATCCTCATGACCCAAATAACTACGATGGTGTGATCACTCACCTAGAGCCAGACATCCTGGAATGTGAAGTCAAGTGGGCCTTAGGAAGCATCACTATGAACAAAGCTAGTGGAGGTGATGAAATTCCAGTTTAGCTATTTCAAATCCTAAAAGATGACACTGTGAAAGTGCTGCACTCAATATGCCAGCAAATTTGGAAAACTCAGCAGTGGCCGCAGGATGGGAAAAGGTCGGTTTTCATTCCAATCCCTAAGAAAGGCAATCCCAAAGAATGCTCAAACTACCACACAATTGCACTTATCTCACATGCTAGTAAAGTAATGCTCAAAATTCTCCAAGCCAGGCTTCAGCAATACGTGGACTGTGAACTTCCAGATGTTCAAGCTGATTTTAGAAAAGGCAGAGGAACCAGAGATCAAATTGCCAACATCCCATGGATCATCAAAAAAGCAAGAGAGTTCCAGAAAAACATCTATTTCTGCTTTATTGACTATACCAAAGCCTTTGACTGTGTGCATCACAATAAACTGTGGAAAATTCTGAAAGAGATAGGCATACCAGACCACCTGACCTGCCTCTTGAGAAACCTGTATGCAGGTCAGGAAGCAACAGTTAGAACTGGACATGGAACAACAGACTGGTTCCAAATAGGGAAAGGAGTAGATCAAGGCTGTATATCGTCACCCTGCTTATATAACTTCTATGCAGAGTACATCATGAGAAACTCTGGGCTGGAGGAAGCACTAGCTGGAATCAAGATTGCTGGGAGAAATATCAATAACCTCAGATATGCAGATGACACCACCCTTATGGCAGAAAGTGAAGAGGAACTAAAGAGCCTCTTGATGAAAGTGAAAGCGGAGAGTGAAAAAGTTGGCTTGAAGCTCAACATTCAGAAAACTAAGATCATGGCATCTGGTCCCATCACTTAACGGCAAATAGATGGGGGAACAGTGGAAACAGTGGCTCACTTCATTTTTCTGGGCTTCAAAAATCACTGCAGATGGTGATTGCAGCAATGAAATTAAAAGATGCTTACTCCTTGGAAGGAAAGTTGTGACCAACCTAGACAGCATATTAAAAAGCAGAGACATTACTTTGCCAACAAAGGCCCATCTAGTCAAGACTATGGTTTTTTCCAGTGGTCATGTATGGATGTGAGAGTTGGACTGTGAAGAAAGCTGAACACTGAAGAATTGATGCTTTTGAACTGTGGTGTTGGAGAAGACTCTTGAGAGTCCCTTGGACTGCAAGGAGATCTAGCCAGTCCATCCTGAAGGAGATCAGTCCTGGGAGTTCATTGGAAGGACTGATGCTGAAGCTGAAACTCCAATACTTTGGCCACCTGATGCGAAGAGCTGACTCATTGGAAAAGACCCTGATGCTGGGAAAGATTGAGGGCAGGAGAAGAAGGGGATGACAGAGGATGAGATGGTTGGATGGCATCACCAACTCGATGGACATGGGTTTGGGTGGACTCTGGGAGTTGGTGATGAACAAGGAGGCCTGGCGTGCTGCGGTTCATGGGGTCGCAAAGAGTCGGACTCGACTGAGCAACTGAACTGAACTGAAATGTCCACCACAGGGCTGGGCTCTCGCCTTGGCCTGTAGTTGGAATCACTTGGGGGGATTTAAAAAGTACTGCACCTCAGGCTACATCCCCAGGGATTCTAACCCAGTTGGTCTGGGTGCCACTTGGGCATTAGCTTTAACATCTGAGACTCCCCAGGTGATTCTAGTGTACAGCCATGGTTGAGAATCACTGGGCTAGGAGAAGTTTCCCCAGCTGGGATAGGTGATAGCCACGGTTAGAAATGCAAAGGCCCATAACGTTCAGATGGGAAAAGAAGACCAAAAGCAAGAGATGCGGCGAAGATGATGATTAAGACCCTGGAGAGCCTGGGGGAAAGTCATATGAGAGCAGAGACCGGCTGAAAGGTGATGAAGGATTGTGGGGGATATTGGGCGGGAGCTACATACATATGTGTCCTTAAGACTGCCACCAGGGACGCTCCCACACCCCTAAAGGCCATGGACAAACACAGATAAAAGTCTCAGAAACCAAAGCAAATAGCTTGGCTTGAATTGATGAAAGCAGACCATGTTAGCCAGAATATCACCAACTTCAAGAACAAGGTTACGCTCAGGAGGCTTCCCTTAGGCAGAACTCCAATCTTAAAAAAAAGCAGTCTTTGGACTGCAGACGAATTGAGCATTTCATGAGAGGTCCTGAGTTTGTAGCTCGTGTCAGCTGAAGCCAGTGTGCCCCGAGTTTCCTCCCACTGCAGTGAGATGTGTGGGCCAGGAAACCCTCCCATGATTTCTAGAGGTGCTGCCTGCTGGCCTCCACTGGACCCAGTGGGAAGGAGGAAGAAGCCAGGGGCAAGGGGACTAGGGATCTCTTGAAGGACGGCGCAGCTATACCACGAGTCCACCAAGAAGCAACCGACCACCCAGATCTGCGGCCACGGGACCAGGGCAGATCAGCCCTGCCAGACTCGCTTTGCTGCGAGGAGGTGCATCTGGTGGGGACGTCACAGCCCCACGTGCTTCTAGGCCAAGGCGGACAAACCTGTGCCAGCTGCCTACACCGACCGCGCCGGCAAGCGTGGCAGGCATCACTAATCAGTTGCGGCGCACTTTCACGATGAGCTTGGGCATGGCCTCGGGGCGCTTCGCAACACAGAAGTGCCCAACGGCTGCCACCAGGTAATCAGAGGCGGCACTCAGTTCCCACCCCAGGCCTGGGCTTTGCTCTGCTCGGAGCGATGGGGGTGACAGCACTGTGCAGGCGACGAGGTCCTGCTTATTCCGTCACTCTGATATTTGAAAAGACTGAAAAGGTAGAAGTCTGTGCCTGGCACTGGGGAGAGGCACTGGGGATGCATCAGCGAATAAAACAGTCATGGCCCTTTCACAGTAAATAAATAAATCTAAACATACAAAAGGGACGACAGAGGATGAGATGGTTGGATGGCATCACTGTCTCAGTGGCCATGAGTTTGGGTAAACTCCGGGAGTTGGTGATGGACTGGGAGGCCTGGCGTGCTGTGATTCATGGGGTCGCCAAGAGTCAGACACGACTGAGTGACGGAACTGAACTGAGCTGAAACATACAAATACAAATTTCTAGTGAATGCTATTGAAGGTTTGGAAGACTAACAACACACTACCTTTCATCACCAGCCCCTTCTCCCCTTGGTTTAGAAATTTTAAGAGGCACAGAAGGAAACATAGATAAAAATATCATCTTCATGGCTGAGAAGCTATGACAGAGGTATGGCCAACTGGGCTTGTTTATGCCCTGAATTGCACTTATCACCCCTCTTCCCAAAACCTCAGGCCGCGAGGGCTAAGCCTGTCTCGTCAGGCCTAACTTGCAGGTGTAGAGGTCTAGACCAGCCACCTCTGCAGGTGGAGGGACTGGCCAGCCAGCTGTTCCTTCTCCCAAACCCACCAATCAGAGGAGCTGCTGCTCCCTGGGCAGGGACAGGGCAGGAGGTTGGGAGTGTTCCCCTAGTAGTGGTCCCCTTACTTGGAAACCTGAGACAGGAGAGATACTTGACTCTCCGCGCCCCCCTCCCCCCAGTACAGACAAGGGCTTCAGTAGGAAAAGTAAAGGAAGCAATGAGTACAGGAGGATTGCTCAGTTAGAATCTGGATACTAGGAAGGCTCCTTTGAGTGGGACTCTAAAAATGAGCCCCCAAGCAGTTTGGACCCAGAACCCAAAATATTTACCTTCAGAGACTAGATCCTGCGGGGCTTAATGTTAAGGAGCTGGGTTTTTTCTTAAGAGTAAACACACATATTGAAGAGTTTAGGCAGGAGATTGACAGATCAGTTTAGCATTTTCAAAAGCTTATTCTGCCAGCCAAGAGGATTGGAGGCAGATAAGAGACAGGGTTGCCAAAATTAGTAAATAAAATTACAAGATGCCCAGCTGAGTCTTAAATTCAAATTGGCAACAAATAGGTATGTCCCAAATATCATATGGGACATGAGTCAGTGTGAAAGTTGCTCAGTCTTGTCCAGCTCTTCGTGACCCCATTGACCATACAGTCCATGGAGTTCTCCTGGTCAGAATACTGGAGTGGGAAGCCTTTCCCTCCTCCAGGGGATTTTCCCAATCCAGGGATGGAACCCAGGTCTCTTGCATTGCAGGCAGATTCTTTACTCTCTGACCCACTAGGGAAACCCAAGAATACTGGAGTGGGTAGCCTATCCCTTCTCCAGTGGATCTTACTTACACTTAAAAAAAAATGTTGTTTATCTGAAATTAGTGCTTATCTCTTGGCCCACATTTAACTGGGTGTTGCATGTGTTACAGTGATGGGGACTCCTGGTGATGGGTGGATGCAGTGAGTGGGGGCTACAGTCTGGGGTCAAGGCTGACTCAGACTCCAGGGAAGCCTTGGGATGGACAGAGGTGCCAGTACAGTCAATGTCTCAGAGTGGGATTAACGACAGCTTTGACATTCTGCTACTCTTATAAAGCTGTGCACCCTCTGTAGTCACGTTTGCTGTAACACTTACCTCTTTATTAACCTATTTCAGTATAAGCTGGTATAGGAACTGAGACACAGGGAAGGGCCCTGGGCCCTGCCAGAGGAGAGGGACAAAAACGTTGTCCGTCCAACCGTCACGGGCCTGGCTAGCACAGCACATCACTGAAGAAACGATAATAAAAGCCTGCAAACTCAGAAGACAATGGAACTTGTCTGCAGACAAGAGAGTGACTGTGTTCTGGTCTTCTGACTGTGTGACTCTGGACAAGTCCCTTCATGATTCCTCTATTATGCAAGTTGTGACGTAAATATAGCCTGTCTTATTACATGGCTGTTGTGAATGTTGTGTGAATTACAAATATGAACATTATTTGAATGATATTCAGATTCTGTTACGAACAGCATGTTTGCATCCTATGAAGATTTGTATGTTGAAGCCTTAACCCCCAGGGTGATGGTATTTGGAGACAAGGCCTTTGAGCAGTGCTTAGGGTTAGATTGAGTCATGAGGATGGGGCCCTCATGATGAGATCGGTGGCCTTAGAAGAAGAGGAAGCTCGCAGTCTGTCTCTGTCTGCCTTCACACATGGACACCGGAAAGGCCACGTGAGGACACCGTGCGCGGCTTGCAAGCCAGGAAGATTTCTCACCAGAACCTGACCCCGCTGCCCGCCGACCTCCGCCAGGCTTCCAGCCTACAGAACTGTGAGAAATACATGTCTGTTGTTTAAGTCACCCAGTCTATTCACCAATGTCTTTCCATGCTGATGAAAACAGGTACTATTAATTTTACAAAAGTAATTAGGTATAAGTGAGCAAGAAATTAACAGCGAAGCAACATCTCCTGCTATTTTTAGTCTGCCAGTGAACGTGCTAAATCTGTCAGCCAGGCCGCCTCTCACCTGCGACCTTGGGTCTCGAGTTTCAGGGTGAAATATATGTGTGTATTTCCTTGCCTTCTCCTTTTCCCAAACACACACCTTAAGGGCTGCTTTGAGAAGGAGACATCACAAAGGGTACAAGTGTGTGAGGAAGGGGAACGGGAGCTTGGTTGCTAGGAAACCAGGGAACCAGTTTAGTTCCACAGCCGCTAGGCGTTTAAGGGCTGTGTGAACTGTGCTGACTACATGCATGTGAGCATGGGGCCGGGGATGGGGGCACTTCTCTTTTAGCACAAACTAGAAAACTGGGGTGGGGGCTTCCCAGGTGGCCCTAGTGGCGAAGAACCCTCCTGCTGGTGCCGGAGACAGAAGAGATATGGATTTGATCCCTGAGTCGGGAAGATCCCCTGGAGAAGGGCATGGCAACCCACTCCAGTATCTTGCCTGGAGAACCCCATGAACAGAGGAGCCCGGTGGGCTATGGTCCGTGGGGTCAAAAAGAGTCGGACACGCCTGAAGCGACCTAGCATGCATTCACACAGAAAACTGAAGCATCCAGCACTCCAGTCAGAAATCAGGTGTAAAAAGATGCTGGACAGTGTAAGGCTTCCTGTGACGAGACACAGAAGTCAGTTCCAACAAAGGGAATTTATTAGATAACTGGGTGGTCCAGGGCTGGATCTGGCTTCAGGGAGGGCTGGGTCCAGTGACTGGACTGCAGTCGTTGGCTCACTCTCGTAGCCCTCTGTGCAGTGGCTCACTCCCCTTCTATTTTTCTGTCCCTAAAGGGGGACAGTGCTCTCTGCTGGTGGTAGGGAAGGGGTAGTCTGGCTCCGGGAAAGTCCAAGTTCCTCTCTTTCAGGGCTACCTTCAGCAAAGAAAGATCTTCTCTTTCCCATGATCCATGTGTGAAATCCCATGCAAGGAATCGGATTAGCTCTGCTTCAATCAGAGGCTCTCCCATTGGACTGATGACTATGGCCGGAGGAGCAGAATATTCTGATTTACAACCCCATCAGAACCATACAGAGTAGAGAGAGGCAGCTCCCCCAAAGAAATATGGGATCTGTTACAAGAAATTGAGGAAATGGAAGTAGACAGATCAAGCTGGTGTCCATCACGTTACTTGAAAAGACGTCTGTAAGTTTGCTGTGACTTTTATCCATTTGGGAACTTTGGGAGGGAGGTCCCGGAGGGAGGGGATACGTGTACACGTATAGCTGATTCACTTCATCGTATAGCAGAAGCTAACACAACATCATAAAGCAACTATACTCCAATCATAAAATAAGATACTCAAGCAGCCATGGAGAGGTCCTCATGGCGAGCGACAAGGCCTCCGACTGCCAACCAGCAACATCTTGCCATGTGTATAAATCAGCACCTTAGAAATAAAACCCCCAGCCCTGCTCAAACCTTCAGACGACTGGAGTCTGGCTGACATCCTGATGGCACTCCTGTGAGAAATCCTGAGCCAGAACCCTTAAGCCACTTCCCAACTCCCGAATCTGAGAAACTAGGAGATAATGGCTGTTTGTTCTTTGAAGCTGCTAAATTGTGGTGTAATTTGTTGCATAGAAATAAACACAATACTACAAGGTAAAAAAAAAATAGGTACAGAGATTAAGTGGTAAAATGTTGTATTTATACAGCATAATGCTAAATGGGCTTCCCAGGTGGCGCTAGTGGTAAAGAACCCCCCTGCCAATACAGGAGACAGAAGGGACATGGGTTCAATGCCTGGGTTGGGAAGACCCTCTGGAGGAGGATATGGCAACCCACTCCAGTGTTCTTGCCTGGGAAATCCCATGGACGGAGTAGCCTGGTGGGCCGAAGTCCATGGAGTCGCAAAGACATGATTGAAGGACTGAAGCGACTTAGCACGCATACATACACACACATACACATATATACTAAATCACAAGAAAAAAGGAGGTACGGTTATATTTACTGACTTAAGAATGTGGCTTTTACTTATGTTAAGAGGAAAAGCAGGTTGTAAAACAGTTGTAAGTTTAATAATCGTAACAGCATGTAAAATGTAGGATTTTTGTAAAAAATGAATATTTAGAGAAATAACCCTATTAACATCTGCCCCAAATTGCTACCAGTGGCTCTCTTATGGGCAGTTGCTACTGAATTCTTTTTTGTTATCAACTTTGAAAGTATGACAATTACATGAACATGTATTATTTTTATATTAAAAAAAGATGTAATAAAAATAAATATGGACATTCAAAAATGAATGGTTTTGTTGAGATATAACCCACATATCATAAATGTATCCTTTTGAAGTATACAATTCAGTGGGGTTTTTTTAGT